AATACAATCTTCAGAAGCAGGAGTTGAATCATCCTGAAGCTTCGACGATCACGGGGTAAAACGTAAAACCTGGAATTCCCAGATCAAACAGGCTCGAAACTATTGGCAGATCTTCGATGAATGTATCTCTCGGTCTTCTTACGTGTTTTTTTTTTTTTTTTTTTTCTCCCCTAAGTTAAAATACAGATTAACATTTCCTGTTTAGTCCTGAGTCTTATTTTCAACTATTGACAGCCTGCGTGCATAAGAACTGCGCTCGTTTACTGTTTCATCAACAGCATTCGTTCATTTTAAACTTACATACTATTCCTTTTCTGTAGCTAATTGTCCTGCATCATTAATTTTTTTTTGAGCCACTGCTGTTCTTAAATATATATGTTTTGAGTTCTGAAAAAATTCCTCTTATTTGAAGCTAAACTACGGTAGTCTGGTTGTGTCAGGGAAAAAAAAAAAAAAAGAATCTTTCCATTAATAGAAGATTAGTAAATGATAAATTCGCTTGCCATAATTCTTATAAGTTCGCAGCTCCTTGAATAGCTCGAAATTAATAATATCTTGAAAATGCGTTCTCCTTTTATAATTTAAAGGGCAACATCCATATGAAAGCAAAATTTCATGGTTTCTTCTCAAATCATTTCTCTACATTCACAACGAATTTTATAGTATTTTACTACATTCACTTAGAATTTCAAACTGTCTCAATGGAGTTTAAGATTTTATCAGAAATTTAAAGAATTTCCTCCTTTACGCTTATTTCGATGATCTAATTCAACCTGATTCCAACCTATTAAGAGTTTATTATTTGAAAGATAACTTAATTTTCCCTGTTGTGACCAATACGAAATAAAACCAAGAAATCATTCTCGAACTGCAACATCAGGCATTCCTAACATTAAATTATGCCTGCTCGATATGATTGACATTTGGCTTTGAAATGAAAATGGCTGAAAAATATTTTGGTAATATACCGAACATGAATAAGTTAGTTGCTGAATGCTGCAAAGTTTGTTACAAAGCTGTCACTACACTCATTAAAAATGGCTATTTCAATTATAATCGAGCTATATGTATAATATTTTAAATGAAAACGGCAATTTAGCATGAAATCCATTGCCATTTTAAACTACAAATATTTTTCAAACTTCAAATAAAAAATCGCCGATATTTAATTTGTTACATTTTCTCTATAATATATTAGGTTAGTCATAAATGCAGTAGCCATCTATTATTTACTCTAAGTAAGTAGGTAAAGTACAAAGGTCCCTTACAGTACCTATTCAAGTTAACAACGCCTTCCTGGGGTCTAGGTACCGTTCTGTAGCGAGGTGCAAATAGAAAAAGATTCTGTGGGATTTGGGGCTGCACCAGAGCATTCAGTTCTCTGGTGCAACCCAAATAATCGCAAGCTCAACTACTGTTGGGGATGTCACAGGTTGTCTCGTCTTATGGTCCGGAGTATTTAATTGCACATGATATGACTGCATGCTGATCACACATCAAGCTACTGGTTGCTTAGAGATATAATCCATATGCTTTAGTCCTTAACGCATATTCATATGCAGGTCCTATTTATGCTAAAGCTGAGTTCTGAATTAGCCAATTATGCATTTTAACCGATATAGCTGATAATGTGAGTTTTCTACTTTGTTCCGATAAGCTGTATTACAAACTCTGGCTATTGCTGAAATATTTTATAGCATTTACGATTTACTCATATTATTTCGTTGACTTGCTGTTGTACTTAGGTGTTTCATACCATTTCAATAGATGAAACACCTAAGTATAGCCGTGATCTGAAGTGCTTTGATTATTTGCTGTGACCACTTACAGCTAGAAATTCGAACAATAACCATTGGGGACTTTCCTTTACATATTAATTTGGTTAGGATAGTTTATGTTACACAATTCTAGACCCCTTGATGACAGGATTTCCATTATTTGGGTTATGCGCTTCCTTATCTGGCAGTTACTTGTTGCGCATCGAAGATACAGATTCGCATCTAGTTCTAGCCTTGGTCTTTTCAGGTGCAGACTTGTGTTATGGTGCATGTGAAAAGGTACTGTTCTAGATCGCCCTTCTCTCCCATCAAAATCCATCTAGTGTAAAAAGGCCTTTAATGGCTACAGATAAAGTACCACTGCCGGACCGAAAACATTACCTTCCTTACCTATATTTACAAGTTGGCGGGATACAAAAATGCAAGTTGAAAGAAACATTAAGATAGGGAAATTATGAATAAAATTGCCTCTTAAAGTTCATTTCCTAATACAAAAGCGAATAAATCCAGAAAATATTCAAAGCAATCTGGCTGTAGCAATATTTGCCCCATTATTATAATCCAGAATGAATGCCTGCTACGTACTCTTAATAACACCAGCTGTTCTGAGGGAGAAAACACTATAGCTTTTAAACAGTCCGGCTCAAAAACAGTGCCAGATATAAACATAGATATAAAAGACAGAAACTCTGTCCCGTAGATTCATATATCTATATATATCCATAGATAGCTTTATACAAACGCCACACGAATTCGAAGTCAATGAAGGCAAGCTGTTAGCGCCAGCTGACGGGTTCGACACAGGGGCCCTCCTACCAGACACAGGTCAGAAAATGGGGGAGTAAGAAGTGAGAGGGGGGGAAATGTGCCGACAAAACGATATTCGTCCGCTCCTCCTTCTCCCATGCTGTGTCTCCCGCGTACACACACAAAAGGGGAATACCCGAAATAGAAAGTTGAAAAGGTGCCCTCTCATAAACGCGGGGCTTACTTCATTAAGGTTCCCAAGTTGACTTCGAAGTTGCCGGCAGCTGCTTTTGATGCGTATTTCGAATGGGAAGGGAGGATCGGGCAAATGTGAAAGGATAAGTGTTGGAAACGAATGTGCGGAGGATAGTTAATGTTTCCCAGTTACATTGCTGATTGGGGAGCGCTTCATGGTAACGAAGCGCTTAGCCCCTTTTTTAAGAAGAATGCATTTTGTGCATACAGGAACATAATCGCATATTTCGAGAAAAGGAAAACATATATGAATAACATGATGAATATATACTATTCCTTCAATGTACTTTCGCAAGCAAAAGTTCTAATAATACACAATTAAAATGAAGATATATCCACGGATAACAATTTTGATAATTCTATCAAAGACAAATCTTATCGACACAGACACTGAAATTTTATTTAGATTTTCGAAGCCAGGATTAAACGAGGTGACCCTATAAACTTTCCCTGACCATTGTGTAATTAATGCTCTAACGCAGGGCTTTTTAACCGGTGGTATGCAAGAAAAAAATAGGTGGTATGCACAGAAGCAAAGTACTTTTAACTGTTAAATTCAAAAATTAAAACCCCAACATCCTGATTGAATTTTTTTCTCTAACACTCTAACATTTATGAGACCTGAACTTTGTTTAACAATGATGGTGGTAGTAGTACTTTGCAGTGGTGGTATTAAAGGTTTAAAATGTTTGTTTAGATGGTACAAATTAGTCAATAGGTCGCTTATATGTTAACTGAATATATTACTGTATTGCAAAACCTTGTAATAATACTACTGATCAGTAATAATAATAAAACAGATACAACGTATCAATATGTTTAAATTGTACACGTAAATAAAATATTCATCAAGAAACGGTAATAATAACCATGACAATAGTTAATAGCTAGCCAATATGTTTTAATCAATTGAGGAACTATTTACAATCAGAAATACGTTTACACGAATACCTTTCACCAGGCGTCGGCAGCCTTTTTAGGCTGCGGGGCAAAGTCAACCAAAATGTAAGACGACGTTTCGGGTCAGAGGTATTTTCACTTTAAAACAGTCTTTTTTGAAAACACATTTTATTAGGAAATTAATTCCAATAAGCTTTAAAATAAAAGTTATAATTCTAATTATTTTATGAACAAACATAGCTGAAAGAATTTTAATTTTCTCTTCGGCATCTGCGTTGCTCCTATTCTTACTTCAAATAAATTTCATGTGCTCGCATTTATAAGTTGAATTAAATGCGGACAAAATGGCAAAGTCCTTTTTTTTAATTATAAATTACGGATCGGCGTGGCCAAATTTATATATTTAAGTTACAATTATTAAAAATGCTTGTTCGTTACTGAAACTTTGTAATCAAACAAAAATGTTGTTGTTTTTATTTATTTTCAGTTAATTTTTTATGTATTCTTCAAGCTTTCGTTTGATGTTTACGTTTATAATTTATTTTTATATATTGTACTTCGTTTTCGGAATTCGAATGTGTTACTCGTGACCCACGAGTCGTTAGCTGCCGAAGCCTGTCTGTCTGCCTTACACTTTAAACTTAAAAAAAAATTACCGTTTTGGGGGGGGGGAGAGGTGCTCTCTGACGCTATCAAAAGACAACTAAAAATGGTAGAGATAATTTCTCAATTTCATTTTGATAAGTAATTACAGATTTTTGGAAATGATAAAAATAAATACCTTCACATAATTTTTAACTACGATCTTAGACAGCCTCTTAAAACTAGTAAATCTACAGTTCATGTAAACCTAACGCCTAATGTCATTTTCTGGTTAATATTATTTCCAGATAATAATAATAATAATAATCCTTTTTTTCCATCTTGCTGATATTTATCTAAAATCCAGTAAAAAATTCGAATCCGAATAATACAATTCTTCAGATACTATGCATTTTTGTCTCCTTTTCAACTTTATCTACATTTGAGGAAAGGATCCATTCTAATATAACATATAACATCATAACATCCAGTCATTGTAATATACATGTACTAAAACATATAACATCCAGTCATTGTAATCAATATGGAGGCAGTTCCTATTTATGTTACGTTTTTAAGCAATCTTCCGGAAATGTCTACTTCCCGCGTTTTCTAACACTGGAACGTATGACTACCAGTAAAGCCAATTACTTTAAGAAGATATAGTATATATTATAACAGTATTCGTTATTATCTCAGAGCAAACACAAAACAGGAAACCAATATTGAAATACTTACCGTGAGATGTTGAAATAGCCATGCTCTCATTATGTTAGTGGCCACTTTAGGAAATATACCTCTTTTCTTTTGACGTTTTTTACTCCGATCATCGTCGTCATCTTCTCCTGTTCCATCACCAGAGCCGATACTAGCGTCACCTAGATATAAAAGAAAAAAAAGTTATTAAACAAAACTATATAAACCTCAAAGACTTTAACATCACTTTCCTTAATTGAACAAAATTATAAATTATCACTTTTTATCCCATAACCGAACAGTCGTTACTAAGCTTTGCCATGGCAAGTAAATTACTCACCAGATGTAAAATTTCTAACACATGTATTTATAATCCGTATCAAATAAATACCTATTTTTAAGATGATAGAAAATCCCAAGCGAGCATTAATCCAATAAAATGCTTAATCTCTACCAAATCAAGATTATTTTTAAATTACAACTGAGTCAATGAGAAGTCAATAAAAATTTACTCAAATAACAAGTAACGTTTGTTATCAGTATACAATAATTATCATAAATGACTATTTATTTAGTTGATCTATCTGAATTTATAACCGATTATGTTATACGGTATTTCTCCCACAGTCTTAGCATGCCTTCGTTTCGGGGTGTGATGGTCTGTACGCAGGGCGCGTATTCCAGAAGTCCATGGTTCGATTCCCGGCGAAGGCATTGCTCAGTTTTCATCATTTCAATTATTTGAATTTATAACCGATTATGTTATAAGGTATTTCTCCCACAGTCTTAGCATGCCTTCGTGGTGTGGTGGTCTGTACGCAGGGCGCGTATTCCAGAAGTCCATGGTTCGATTCCCGGCGAAGGCATTGCTCAGTTTTCATCATTTCAATTATTTGATCCCCCCCCCCCAAAAAAAAAAACTTATGTCTCTACAACGTTTGATTACAAATGCAGCACTTCCAACAAAATTTTTGCATTACTTAGGATATATAAAAATATTTATGCTGCGCTTTTACATTATATGAATGAGATATAGTAGTTATGATATATGTATACATAATTGCAGGCGTCCCCCCCCTTTCCAAGAAACACTTACAAATTTTTATAAAAGAAGACTTTGACAGAGATTTCAAACTCATGGTATATTGTTCTACTTAGTCCGGGACTCGGTATTCTGTAAAATAATCCTCTGATATTAAATGGTATTGAAACACAGTTTTAAACTTTTCACTCTTAATTTCCTGTCCTTTTATATACCTAGCTGCCAACTTTGAAATCTTAAAAACCGAGATATTCTCGCATCTTAAATCGGAAGTTTCTGGCAGGTGTTCGTGAGGCACAACCACACCATTTCAACAGAAATTCACGCTGATTTAAATTAGCTTTATAATGCATGATTCAGATTATTGAACTGTTTATAATATGATTCTTATGTAAAATATATTAATATTTAATTAGTCGCCCAGACGGTATAGTTTTTAAAGGAGCCAAGGTGCCTACTGCGGTACCGAAGGGCCTGGGTTTCGGAGAAGGCATGGATGTTTGAAAGCGTATAGTATCTATGGGGCATGGGATCACTCCAAATATGCAGCGAGTCAAAAGTCCTCTCGAGAAGCTGGTGGCTGGCAGACCTTCGGACCCGTTCTCTGGGGATGCTCTCCATCAAAACTGGGGGCAGAGCTGAGTAAAGTCGTACTGTCTCCTGTCGTATGGTGCTTAAAGTTCTTGCCAACGACAGGCGTCATTTTGCATTCCTTACCATTATGAATTTCGTGGGTTTATTCTGATATTACTGTCAGACAAGTGAGATAAATCACAAAAAAAGTCTTATATAAGATCACACACCGAACTTTGAATATTTGCCTGGAATACGAGTTTTGCGTCTGAAAAGAAGAAAAAAATAAATATCCAAACACAGTTATGTTCTTTTTCCTTAAACTTTCTTTCGATCCTGTCACTTCAAAAATATCTAAAATCAATATCCTTGAGGCCATCCAGAGTTATCAAAAACATGTTGCCAATTTCTTTGAACAGGAAGCTTAGGCGAATGTCATTTCATAAAAGAACTATCGAGATAAATGCTTAGATTATGAGACCAAAATGCACCAAATAAAATGATTGCATAACATTAACAATACAAAATAAATAAATAAATAAATAAATAAAAATAAAAATAAAAAATAAAACTAAAAAAAATTCCTACTTATGAGAATTTTTGTTACATAATGGGGCATTACATCCGCTTCATCCAACTCTATAAAACTACAATTCTCTTTAATTCCATACACTTTAACAATCTTTAGAACTCTGTCTTACTGTTGCCACTAATTTTTTGTTAAATATTACAATCCCATTTATCATAATCATGTACTAATATTCATAAGTTGTTATAAAATTAATTTTTACAGCACGTGAGAATTCCCAATAAACGGTCATTATTTATAAGTCTTAATATGAGAATTATATGAAATTTTAATATGTGAAATTTTAAATTTTAATTATCGTTGATATATGAAAACACTCTATTAACATCAAGTGTCATCCACTACAAGTTTAAAAAATGTATTTGAACTCGAGTGGACGAATATATTAACGATTGAAAATTTGAACAAAATATAGGGAGAGTATGAGCTAATAGTAGGAATTTAAAAATAAGGAATCATAAAGAATCATTCTTATTACCAATCTTTTTTTTTTTTTTTTTTTTTTTTTCCCTCGTCATCGAAAAGAAATAATTCAGCTCGCAGGGAACTCAAAAACACCCACTCCCCAACACGCATACTTTTTTGAATTATTTATTTCATTTATTTTGAAAATTAAAAACCAAATATAGTTTAAATTTGAAATACAAATTAAAATTTTAAATTTTAAATTTGAAAATATACTTCGTTTCTCATTTTCACGGAAACTTTCAAATACGCATTACTTTTAAACATTTTTTGCACAAGAAGTTGCAATTCAACAAACAAACAAAAGTGGGGGGGGGGGACTTCTTTCACCTTGAAATTTCTTTGAAAATTTTGAGGTAAGATGTTATTTATGTAGAAGATAATTCTCACTCGAAAAATGTGCTACACCTCAGATCGAAAAGAATAAAAGTTGCTAAAATCTAATCATCGCAGCTTTCACCTTCATGTCGATATGTCACACAAAAGAAAACCAAGAATAATAACCCCTTCCTACTCCATAAGGATCCCAAATGCTTTTAGAAGCCACGTGACACAAGACACCACATATGTGACATTTTGGGCTCTTATCCCTCACGAAGGTATAACCATTATTTAAGGGACCATCAACAAAATAAAAATTTTCTACCAATACCATAACTTCTTGAGAAACTGCTTACTTTTTTATATGGTCTTTTGGATTATTTGGTTATCCAAATTTATTCTGGTTGTGGAAAAAAAAAAATTTCCTATAGCTATATTTGATGATATATAAAATTTGCAAGCTTGTGAACAGTTTCCAGGGTTTCGATAAACATCAAAATTTTATCTTTTGGCGTAAATTTTCTCTTAATCGAATAACAGGAGACACGAACCCTGCACATGCATTTTAGTTTATGTTAGTTAGCTTACTTCTTAAAAACACTAGGAGAGACCAAATAGTTCAGAAGTTAAGTATTGCATTTCAGTGGGCAACTTCGGTTTTTAAGTTTTATATCTATCTAACTTGATTATATAATATCTAATGAATTTAAATGCTTTATAAACCTATAAATAATGATTTATATACAGTGGACTTAATAAATTTCCCCTGAAAGAAACATAATGGCTAAAAATCGATGGATTTTAAGATCTCATCTGCTAAAAACTTATAAAAATTTGTTACTAAATACTGCACTATTAACAGAAAGGTTTCATATAAAATTTAAGATACCCTTTTCTTTAAAGCAATGGAACTTCAAAAGAAAAATTTCAGCAGTACAACTTGATGACATTCTTTAAAATTTACACAAATGTATTTCTTGAAGAACAATATTGTCTTAGCTTTCTCCCTAATCCCAAAATGCTCACGGCTCACGAAATTTTCGGAACGTCCCCTAAAATAACGTCGTCGGAGTTCCATGCATCGTATGTCGGTCCTGTGGGACGGTTCTCCGGGATGTTTTTCCTGGAGCACAAAGGGTGGTGACGTCATAGTCGGGATAGGGTTCTGGAGAAGAGTGAGGAAACGCGATTCGGACAAGCCACGACACCAATAATTAGGTTGACGCTGCGACCATCGACATTTTAAGACTCTGAAAGGTCTTGAACGTGCCTTGGGTACAAGAAGGCGGATCAGTTTTCACACTTACTTTTCCTGTAACACTTTTCTTTTTTAAAAGAATGTTTCAGGCTTACTTTTTTCCCAGCACTTTCTGTTGGAATGTTTCTGGGACAAAAAAGGATTTCCTGCGACAAGGAAGATTATCCGTCACACAGTTCACAATTTGCTGAATTATAAATATCTTTAAAAATTCACAATTAGGCTTTCGGTAATACTGAATTTTATATGTGCTATGCCTGCTTGAGATATCTGAATTCACATTTTTTGTTTCTAACTCTTTAACGACCCTATAGCATTTATTGGTAATAACATAGGATCAACAAAAAGTAGAAATGTGTTTTTACGTCCGCCACATTTCCCTCCTTCAGATATTAACCAAGAAATACAAGACATAAGGAAGGTAAATTCGAGGATTTTTAGATTTTCATTCTTTTTATCAGAAAGCACAATTTTTTCAAAAGGCCTGCCCAGAAATGTTAGATTACAAAAATAGTGCAAAATCTAACAATAATCTTTAAAAAAAAAACTGCCAATTAAATTTTGAAAAAATAAATAAATAAATAAATGAATAAAATTTTTAAAAAAAATCTGAAAGTTTTCAGATTTTACATTACGTCCAAAGGGGCGTTTATTTAGCGCTTTGCTTGCTACCTTTATTTATTAAATACTAAATCCGCGTAATTAATGGCCTCAATTAATTAGCGAATGATATATTAAATATCATGTTTTTCGCACTTATACCATAAAATTCAGTTCAATACTAATATCGCAAAATAATTTTAAAATAAGCATATCTTTAGAATTTCCGGTTTCGCGCGCTGGAGATAATTTTTTCCCTCTTCATTTTCGTACAGTGTTGCCACTGCTTGCTTTGAAATCGTTTTAATCAAAAATTCGTTAAAATTTTATAAAA